AGCTATACAAGGGGTCTGGCCAACACCTCACTATCAGATCCCACAAAGGTTAAACACCTGACGCACGCAGACCCAACTTGGATAGGTCCTTTGCACAACTCACCCACAAACTATTCTACCCAAGAAAATTTAAAAATTATTATTTGTCCAGTGTATTATTAAATTCTTCCCAAATTCTATTAATTATAAATGGATCTAATTTATTTAAACCAAAGGAAATATTCATATTATTGTCAAAACTGCTTTTTATGAAACAAGATTCAATTATATTCCTTTCGACCATGGACTTGCTTGATACTACTTTCTCAACTTTTTGAAAATCAATTGGATGGTTAAAATCTCTTACATGAATAAATAGAGCATTGAGATCTTGTCCAGTTCTAATGCTATATTTATGTTGTTTTAATCTTAGTTCGAGATTTTTACCAGTTTGACCGTAATAAACTTTATCGCAAATTTTACAAGGAATCTTATAGACACATCCATCAGCATTTTTGGGGGGAATTCTTTATCAAAAGTTTTTTTACTGTATCAAGATTTTTGAATACAACTTTAATATTAAAAGTCTTAAGAAGAGAAGGCATATCAACCAAGTTTTCATGGTAAGGGAGAACCAACATATTTTTAGTTGAATAAGGCTGGTTGTCCCTTTTTGGATTGTAAAAAGTATTTCTAGCAACTTTAAAAGATTTATCAATTACATTTCTTGGGTATTTTAAATCATTACCTATTTCATAAATTTTGGATATTTCCTCATCTATGAACTCAGGACTACAAATTCGTAAAGCTCTCAAAAACATTGATGAGAAAACAGACAGTTTGACTCTATCTTGATGCGAGGAATAATAGTGGACATAGGAACAGTTATTTGTAGGTTTTCTGTAAATTTTAAATTTGAATTCATTATTACCCTTAATAATTAAAACATCTAGGAAAGGCAATTATTAATTATTAAGGGTAATAATGAATTCAAATTTAAAATTTACAGAAAACCTACAAATAACTGTTCCTATGTCCACTATTATTCCTCGCATCAAACTGTCTGTTTTCTCATCAATGTTTTTGAGAGCTTTACGTATTTGTAGTCCTGAATTCATAGACGAGGAAATATCCAAAATTTATGAAATAGGTAATGATTTAAAATACTCAAGAAATGTAATTGATAAATCTTTTAAAGTTGCTAGAAATACTTTTTACAATCCAAAAAGGGACAACCAGCCTTATTCAACTAAAAATATGTTGGTTCTCCCTTACCATGAAAACTTGGTTGATATGCCTTCTCTTCTTAAGACTTTTAATATTAAAGTTGTATTCAAAAATCTTGATACAGTAAAAAAACTTTTGATAAAGAATTCCCCCCAAAATGCTGATGGATGTGTCTATAAGATTCCTTGTAAAATTTGCGATAAAGTTTATTACTGTCAAACTGGTAAAAATCTCGAACTAAGATTAAAACAACATAATATAGCATTAGAACTGGACAAGATTCCAATGCTCTATTTATTCATGTAAGAGATTTTAACCATTCAATTGATTTTCAAAAAGTTGAGAAAGTAGTATCAAGCAAGTCCATGGTCGACAGGAATATAATTGAACCTTGTTTCATAAAAAGCAGTTTTGACAATAATATGAATATTTCCTTTGGTTTAAATAAATTAGATCCATTTATAATTAATAGAATTTGGGAAGAATTTAATAATACACTGGACAAATAATAATTTTTAAATTTTCTTGGGTAGAATAGTTTGTGGGTGAGTTGTGCAAAGGACCTATCCAAGTTGGGTCGACGCGCGTCAGGTGTTAATCGTTGTGGGATCTGATAATGAGGTGTTGGCTAGACCCCTTATATAGCTTCCTTGGATGATTTACTTTCATAGTTCCTTGGTAATGTGAGTAGTCACGAATGCGCTGTGGTGGAGCATCTTTGCAGTTGCTGGGTCTATCAGACCGTCGGAAAACCCGCTCATACCCCGCCTCCGGCTCCTCTCTGTCCTATTGCCTCAGATGGCGAGCCTTTTTCCCGTCTAATCATCGATTGCGTAGGTCCACTCTCCAGGACAAAGGCGGGAAATCAGTACCTATTCACTATAATGGATTCTGCCACCCGTTACCCCGAGGCCATCCCCATGAGGAAAATAAATGCTCGCGCAATAGTCCGCGCTTTGATAAAGTTTTTCTCACAGGTAGGGCTGCCTCGTGAGATCCAATCTGATCAAGGATCAAACTTTACTTCAAAAATCTTCAAGGAGGCCATGTCACGCCTTGGTATAAGATCTATCCTCGCTACCTTTGTTACGAACATGGCCAGTTGGTCCCTGGGTTACAGTGCTTTTCGTAACAAACTAACAAACTTAACACGTCTAGGGGTCTTCATTCGTAGAGGAAAAGGAATTTCCTTGGTTTCTGTTTAATTTATTAATAACCATAATAAACACTTAGACGTGCTAAGTTTGCTAGTTTGTTATGAAAAGCACCATAACCCAGATACCAACTGGCCATGTTCGTAACATCGTGTTTCTTATATAATTCTGAAAAGCATGTGACACTTGTGATAATAAAATTGCCAATAATAGCATGAAATATAGGATTTATAGAGGCCCAGAGCGACAAATTTCATATACGTCACGGCGTGTCTGCACATTTTGGGCGCCTCTTTATATAATGGAATAAGGTTATTTTATTACATTAAGTAATCAATATTAATATTATTTGACAGATGTAATTAATGAATATATGATTATTAATATTTACAATATTATGATTATTATTGTATTATTAATTTCTTGAGAAACATCGCACGGAAAACGAAAATTTACAACAAAATTTTGACAGGTTGACACATTTGTGGTAAGCATAATTAATTTTCAAATTTTGTAATGGTTGTCGTAGCCGCAGCCCAAGTGCGGCTTCTTTCACCTTAATTGAAACAATATCTTAACCTGTTGTTTATATACATACCTATGATAAATTTTAATTGATAAATTATGCATAATAAAACAATAACAACATGAAATATTGATAAATTCACACCACCCACTAACCACCATCACACCACCACCAACCAACCACATTATCAACACCAACCACCACTAACCACTACAACAACTCACCAACTACCATCAATCACCCAACACCATGTCATAACAACACCACTAAACAAAACCTCACCTGCACTAACCACCGTCAACAACACCAACAACAACAATCACCAACAAAACCACAATCACCAAACACAACAATCACCATCAACAACAAAAACAATCACCAACACCTAACAACAACAATCACATCACCAAACACAACTATCAACATCACCAAACAACAACAAACCCATCACCAAACAAACAACAATCACCATCACAAAACATAAACCACCACCACACCAAACAACAACCACCACCAATCCACCACCACCAACAAATACACCACCAAACACCTCCAAGAACTACCGCCAACTACTCCAAAACAACCACCGCCACTACTCCCAACACCAACCACGCCAATCTACAATCAACAGCCACGCCTACCATTATCAACAACCACCGCCAACCTTGCCAACAACAACCACCGCCCAAACCCATTGCCAAAAACTTCCACCGCAACCATTATCAACAACAACCGCACCAAACACCTCGACCCACCACACCACCAACCCTATAACACCACAAAACACATCCATCACCAACCACATCCACCAAACCACCACCACCACAATCACCATTAACATTATCAAGGAAACTATTAGTTCCTGATAATATGCCTTTGATTGTTGGTGATTGTTCTTGTTGTTTATAATTGTTGACCGGAACATGGGTTAGAACACTAACTTCAATCGGCTGATGTCTTTTCTGCATGTTGTGGTTTTATAAGAATAGTGAGATAATTCTGAATTTTTCATGAAAGTTTTGGTTTTTTTAAATTCAGTATTTGCGGCTCAGAACTGGATCTCCTTAAGATTGCATATCCTTCCTGCACGAAATTCCCTTCATTACCCTTTCAACTCAGGGTGGAACACGTAAGAGCTCCTTTCTGGGCAACGTTCTCAACCCAGCCTACGTTCTAATTTCTTGGAGGATAACCAAGACCCATGACGGTCTGTGGCATCGACTCTACAATATTTAGTACACATTGGGGTTTTCGCGCTCTGTACTGGAGGAAATTGGCGTTTGTGCCACTGCTACAAAAGAAGTGTGAGCAATATACCATCATGACAATGAAAGCGGTGATGGAGCCTATGATTGGTCAAATTAATGAGTTAAAAACTATATGTTATGATTATTCAGTTATCATGAATTGTGATTTTATATTTCTACTATAATGTGTGGAAGATAATGTTACTTTGAGGAACAAAATCATGTGTATATTGATGCAATTGTACCAGACCCGCCCCATCAACATGTGTAAAGTATTGGTGCGTATTCCCTCAGATCTCAGCCTCAGTTCCCGGAGCTGCCCGTTGTTGGACCTGGAGAGGAACGTTGTTTTATGTGCTCAACTGTCACTTTTCTACAGCACACCACTGCTATCCTGCCTTAAAGGTGGAGGTGGGCGCCATGAACTGTAGTCCTCACGCAAACCTTTGCCTCAGGTAAGTTGTCCGACTTACCTGACATTTGGTTTGACATCGGTTATGTCTCTGGTAAACATTGTCACTGTCCCTGTCAGTGAGCCATAATTCTGTTTTCACAGACTCAGGTCTGTTTGTCTTGCACTTTCTGGACCTAGCTTTCATTGATGTTTTTCTTTGCCCTATACATGTATATAAACACATTTTTAAGGAATTAGAATCGTGGATCGCTGTGGAGCAGGATCAGGAGTAATTTACTCAGTTTGGGATCTATTGCGCGCAGTACCTCCGATGCCCGTCCATACGCCGACCTCTTCATCAATGCTTTCGCAGGCTGCCTACAATCGAGTATTATGGAATTACGGGAAGAGCTGAGGACGTCCCTGACAAAGCGTGATGATCAGCTAGTGGCTTCCCCACAGGTTTATTCTTGGTGAGTCTTAGTTTATGGGGCAGCTCAAATCACGTAGTTTTTTTGTTTATAAATTTTCAGGTTATTTATTTATAGATGGAAATCATTTTTTTTTGAGCAAGGCAGTATACATAATGTAGGAATGTTGTGAAAAACACTTTTTGAAACATTCTTCGGACGTATAGGGACGACCTCCAGCAAAATCAGATTAGTTTAATGTCTTAAGTTTCAATAAGCTTAAGTATGTGGGTGTATTTACTTCTTAGGTAATTTTATTCAATATGTCATAGATTAGTTGATGCTGACTAAAAGGAAGCTTTGAGCTCTGAGTACGACTATGATTATTTCGTTTACTAGTTCGTAAAGTGTGAAGTTCCTCACCTCCCGTCCTGTAAAGGAAGAGAATGGACGGGTGGAGGAGGTGGAAAGAATAGCTGGACGACAGTCTCTCATTGTAATGTGACACGCCAACAGTTTACACTTCTGAGAAACCTCAGAGCGAAGTTTTCTCCTCTCTGTTGGAGCCTTGCAAAGTAAATAAGCTTATGACTCGGCGCAAGAGGTGCAAAAGCTTTGTGCTAAAATTTCATCCACATTTGGGATTGTTCCACAACCACACAACACACACAATACCTATATATATATATATTTATATTTATATTTATATATATATTATAGATATATATATATATATATATATTATATATATAATATAAATTTTATATATATATGTGGGAGTTGTGTGTATACATATAAGGCAAAACAAACACTAGTGATTGTAAAAATTTTTTTAAGTATGGAAATAAAAATTCCAAGCACTTCTCTAGGTTTTTGGCTAGTTTTGCAACTCAAAATAACTTTGAAAATTTTTCTGATTGATCCACTTAGAAATTAATATTAGTAAGGGAATGGTATATAGCTCTGTTAAAAAAAAACCTTCAATTGCTTATTAGATTCTTTAAGTCTTATGATACACATAATATTAATAAAAATGTGCCACCTTAATAAAGACAGAATAAAACAAAATAAATGTAATAGTAATTATGAAAGAAAATGATGGCAATGAAAAAATGAGTAATTCTCTTAGATGAACTGATAACTTTTTCTAAAATTAGAAAAAAATTCCCTAGAAACAGTTACACAGCAATTTTAAAGAAACCAATAAAACTACTGAACAAGGATGAGTTGAATTAATCAATACAATTACTTCCGCTAATCAATTTTACCTTACATCGAATGGACCTAATTTAAAAACCACACAAAACCAGGGACTCCAGTCAGACCAATTAATAGCTCCATAGGATCGTTTAGTATAAATTATCCAAATGGTATTATTGACATTTTGTGGCTTAATGTTGGAAAATTTCTAACTTTAATGTTAAAAAAAACATAGTTTTAGTTGATCAAATAAGTCTCCTTGACTGGTTAAATGATTTTAACATGGTTAGTTTTGATGTTACCTTCCTTGTTTAGAAAGAGTTCTGTTGATGATTTATTAAGTTTCTTATATGAGACTCGTTAATTATGATTTACCATTTGCCAGTTCCTCTATCATTAAACTTATTAAATTTGCATTTTGATGCAAAATTTGTATTTAATGATATGTTTTACAATCAGATGTTGGTAATATTAAGGCAATGGGAAATCCTCTTTCACTGTTCTATTTGTAACTATACATGGAATTTTTTGAAACAAGGCTGCTTAACACAATCCTCCCTTATAGACCTAAATGGTTCAGGTATGTTGATGATATTTTGTCTTATGCCCAAGAATGTAGATATAAACCATTTCCTTGGTAAATTAAATAGCTTAGCCCATTCTATAAACTTTACTGTTGAGTTTGAAGAAAATAACTCATTGCCTTTTTCTAGATGTTTTCTAGATGAATTCAAATATAAAATTTGCAGAAAACCTACAAATAACTGTTCCTATGTATGCTATTATTCTTCATATCAAGATAGTTAAAATGTCTGTGTCCTCATCAATGTTTTTGAGAGCTTAACGTATTTGTAGTCCAGAGTTCATAGACGAGGAAATATCCAAAATTTATGAAATAGGTAATGATTTGAAATACCCAAGAAATGTAATTGATAAACCTTTAAAATTGCTAGATTATTATTATAATCAAAAAGAAGCGCTAAGCCACAAGGGCTATACAGCGCTGCAGGGTAGGGAAGGAAGCAAGGGAATTGGATGGCCAGAAGGGAGGGGGATGATATGATCAGCAGGTTACATGTAAAACAGAGGCGGGACAGGGGATAGTAAGGGGGTCGAAGGTAGCAGGAATGAAAGTAGAAAGGGCTGTGAAGGTATCAGAATTTGTGGAGTAAGTCAGTCGTTGTTAAAAAGTCAATGAGAGAGTCCGGAGGAAAGAGTGGGTCCATCAGCGAGAAGGAAGGTAAGAGAGAGCAGCGGTGTTAAAATTGTAGAAATCACTTGTTACAATGCAAAAAAGGGAAAAACAGCCTTATTCAACTAAAAATATGTTGGTTCTCCTTACCATGAAAACTTGGTTGATATGTCTTTTTTTCTTCTTAAGACCGACTAATATCAAAGTGGTATTTAAAATCTTGAAACAGTAAAAAACTTTTGAAAAAGAATTCCCAAAATGCAGACAGAAGTGTTATACGATTCCTTGTAAATTTGGATAAAAGCTTATTACGGTCAAATTGGGGTAAAAGTTTCGAACTAAGTTAAAACAAACATATATATAGCATAGAACTGGACAAGATTCAAGGCTCTATTTATTAATGTGACGAGATTATTACCCATCCAATTGATTTCAAAAAAGTGAGATAGTTGAATATAGCAAGTCCATGGTCGACAGGAACTATAATTGACATCTTGTTTCATAAAAAGCAGTTTGGGACTATAATAAGACTATTTCCTTTGGTTTATATAAATTAGATAATTTATATTTTATGAATTGGGGGAAGAATTTAATAATACATAGGACAAATAATAAATGTTATATTCTTAAAATGTTGGGTAGAATAGTTGTTATGTGGGTAGTGTGAAAGACCTTGTCTAGTTGGGCCAGTGGCCTGCTGCAGTGTTCTTTTTTATGAGTCGCGTGTCAGGTGGGTGTTGCTTTGTTGTGGGATAGTGATAGTTAGGTGTGGTCTAGACCACATAATGACACCCATTTGAAGTTGGAGAGGAAACAGATCGGCATTGACTACTGGATCCCCAGCCATGCTGGCATCGGGGAATGAGGCGGCAAGATTGCAGCCAAGGCAGCAAACAGGACAATCACCACATGTTAGGATTACTGTCCTCATAAGCCTACGACAGACCTAACTGGTGGCGCCAGAGCCATGAAACTTATGGGGGAGGGTCCTTAGGTGACTACACCATCTCAACAGAGGTACCAAGCAGCGAATTCAGGGGAGAACCCCTCACCTATGACTGAAGCTCAGTCCAGAGCGCAGTTGTACCGCCATCCAACGGCTTCGTTTGGCTTTCCCACAGCCAAGATGATGGTAGACAAAGGCTGAGGAGTTTGCCAGTCCTGTCAGCACGTGGTGTCCAGCTGCCCCTTACACACTATCTTCTGGAGTGCGAAGAAATAGAGGAAAAGTAAAAGCAGCCAAGGAAGCTATATAAGGGTCTGGCAAGCTCCTCACTTCTGTTTCCCAACAACGGTTAAACACCTGAGCGCGCCGTCCCAACTTGATAGGTCCTTTGCACAACCCACCCCACAAAACTATTTTACACAGAAAATTTAAAAAATTATTTTGTTCCAGTGTATTAATTAAATTCTTCCCAGAAATTCTATTAAGTATAAATGGTTCTAATTTATTTAAACAATGGAAATATCTTATTATTGTCATAACTGCATTTTATGAAACAAGATTCAATTATATTCCTGTCGACATGGAGCTTGCTTGATATTACTTTTCTCAACTTTTGAAATTCAATTGGTTGTGGTAAAATTATTACTGAATAAATAGTGCATTGAATCTTGTCCAGTTCTAATGCTATTTATGTTTGTTTTAATCTTAGTTCGAGATTTTTACGATAAAGTTTATTAGGTTCAAACTGGTAAAAATCGTCGAACTAAGATTAAAACTACATAAATATAGCATTAGAACTGGACAAGATTCCAATGCTCTATTTCCTATTCATGTAAGAGACTTTTAAACCATCCAATTGATTTTCTAAAAGTTGGAAAAGTAGTATCATGCAAAGTCCATGTCGACAGGGAATATAATTGAATCTTGTTTCATAAAAAGCAGAGTTTGACATCATCATGAATATTTTCTGTGGTTCTTATATAAATTAGATCCATTTATAATTAATAGAATTTGGGAAGAATTAATAATACACTGGACAAATAAATTAAATTTTCTTGGGTATAATAGTTTGTGGGGGGGGGTTGTGCAAAGGACCTATCCAAGTTGGTTCGGCGACGCGTCAGGTGTGTAACCGTTGTGGGATTGATAGTGAGGTGAATGGCCAGACCCTATAGCTCCTTGTATGCGGTACTTACATAGTTCTTGATAAATGGAGTGTAGTCCACGAGAAAGCGCATGGAATTTCGCTATTCTTTCAGAGATGGTTGTTTTGCATATATATATATATATTTAATATTATATATATATAATTTATAGATATATATATCTATATATATATTATAGTATATATATATTATATATAATATATTATTTTTATATATATATATATATTAATATATAAATTAATATATAATATATATATATATATTAATATATATTATAATATATATAGATATTTATAAATATATAATATATTTATTATATTATATATATATATTATTTATTTGAATTATATATATATATTAATATATATATAAATATTAATTTTTTAATATATTTATATATATACATATATATTTACTTTAATAAAATATTTATATATATATATATATATATATATATATATATATATTATTTATTTATATTTAGATATATTTATATATATATATATATGTCGTGCGATAATAGCAGGAACTTGCGTCTTGGCTTAAATAGCAACGCTCA